AAAACGAGGCACCAGTGGAAGATGATAGGTGAGAATGAATGCAGGTCAGTTGGCCCAGCAATGGGGCTATTAAACCCCATTACTAACAATCCCTTTCCCCCCTGTTTGGCAAGGCTAGGTTGGGTTTCACTTTTTTGGAAAAAAATGTAGAAGTGTTTAACAGTTAATATATAGTATTCAATTTAGTAATAAATTTAGAAGTTAAAAAATGCATAATTGTTTGCACAAAAAAAAAAAACATATTTAAACAGGATGCATAAAAGAATAATTACGAAAGATTATCGAGCACGAATAAATGGAGATGTCGGTACGGACCGCCTTAGACGGAAGTATGTCGACCAAATAGGTGAGGAAGGACTGGCGGGCGTGTATGAAAAGATTGATGAATGTAGAGTAAGCGAAAGAAGCCTGTTTGAATCGAAGCATTTGACGTTCTATTCCGACAAGCTTTCCGTTGTCAGCGTTGATATTTAGTAAAACAAATTTATGGATTTGTATAACAATAAAGAGGCCATTCGACGTTTGACTGGACTATTCTTTCTGCCACTTTGTAAAGGGAGTCGTGATTAGACGGTTCGCAGACAAAACATGCTTATGAATATTTTCCTATGATTTGTAGTTCGTGATTGTTCTTTGGAAAGGTAACCTTTGTATACCTTAGTAAGTGGAAAGTAGATATCTCGCCACCCGTATTGAATGCTTCAACATCTGAAACGATCACCTCACGATCTTATTTCAATAATTTACTTAGTAGATTCGCTTCAAAATATTCGCACAACTAGAGGCAGGGAGACTTTGTACAAAAGTCGATTGCTCGGGTACCTCTGTCCCATTCGTGATTCTACTGTGAAGCAGTTGTGTTTGCATGGCTGTGTTTCGGTTTGAAGGGTGGGATATGGCGTGAATTTACAAGGTATAGAGGAATAACACCTGAGTCCTCAGGAATGGTAACGCATGGGGGGTATCATGGGCGAAACAGTATACTCTGTTATGTCCATGCTACTGCTCATTGTCTATAGGCGACGGTTACCACTTTCCATCAGGTGGGCCGTCAGCTTGTTTGCCATTCTAAGTTGTATAAAAAAAATATCATATATTTAATGACGCGCCTAGTCTTTGCACGGTTAGTTTATAAATTTAATAAATTTATATGATTACTATATTACTATATAATTATTTTAAAAACAGTCGGTGTTACACGCTCATGATACTAATACAGCTGCCTATGTGTGAAAAAATTTTTAATATAGCTTTAGTATTTTTAGAGTTTATCCATTATAAATAAAAAATGAAATCTTTCCTGTTTTTAATATCAATTTAAGGTACGACAATATGACATATACTCTACATATTTCATTGTAAGTATGGAATCCAACTACTAACGTACACGAATAGATAATCTTAAAACGTTAAACTTACTAATGTTCATTATAATTAGGGTAAATAAGTTGAAACGTCATTACCTTATGACGTTAACGTCGACATGTAGGGCTGCCAAACAATATCAATAGAAATATTGGAAACTTTCATTTGGGGTGTTGAAAAATGATAGATATATAAAATACCGTATTTCATTTATTATCATCATCATCATTTCAGCCATTATTCGTCCACTGCTGGACATAAGCTTCCTTCATAGATGCCATAAAGAACGTTTCTGAGCCACCTGCATCCACTGACTCCCTGCAACGCATTTATTATAATAATATAATAATTTATTTCCTTTCAAAAACACGGTATATACATAGTTTCTAGTTATAATAATGTCCCTGACACTACAGCATAATGCTGAGCACGGACCTCATTTTGCAGGTATTGCGACGCACGCACACACACACTCATCTTTGATGAAACTGTTATAATACGAATTGTTTTATTTTTATATTTTTTATATATATATTCTTCTTATATATATATATATATATATATATATATATATATATATATATATATATATATATATATTGTATTGTTTCTTTATTATAATTCTTAATATATGAAGTTTTTTAACCCCTGTGTGGGTGTTGTCGCATATTTCGTAGCGTATATAATCCATAGTGGGGTAATCTAGCATTTGTTGAAGATTGATGTTATGGTAAACGCAACACTTTATTTAGCCCTTAATTCCCTGAAACCCTTATTTCTCCTAGAAGCCAATGGCGCAAGAAGCTGATTGAATAAATTGTTATAATTACTTGCAATATAGGTCAGGTCACATCGACTTCGACGCGGTCCCGGCTCTGAATTATATATAAGGTTTATTTCTGGTGAATTCGTTACGAAATACGAATTCATTACGAATGGGTCTTTTTTTTAATGGATGACAATGGAGTGGTTGCCCCGTCTGCGCTAACGGTATACGCTGGCGGGGCACCAGTGAATGATCATAGGTGAAGTGATGAGGCAGGTCAGTTAGCCGATCGTGATGAATACATTTGGAATTCAACACGATGGCTTCCAGAGGGGGACCACGTGGAGGTCGACCCGACTGAGTACATTGCTAGCAATGCGACTAACAACCCCCCCCCCCCCCCGTCCCCCGTTACGATGGGTCAACTGCTCTCTCTTCTTTCTGACTTCAGTCTCACCTGTCTACAATTAACAAGGACTTCGCCAGTTTCCCCAGGTGGGAAGTAGGTGTTTCCCAATCCATCAAGGATGTAAATGGAGTGGCTATTTTCATACATCAAAAATAAAATAAAATCGGCTATCGTTATTTTCCCTCTGCCGCCATCTACTGGGCGTATGTATCATTTTTTTCTTATAGAGACTAAAAACTATTCTATCTCTCAAACTAAAGCATATACACATTTACAAGATCTCATTAAAATCGCTCGAGTGGTTTCGGAAATTACCGTGAACGAATATCGTATCGCGGGATTTTTATTTTAAGACCTGGTAACCCTATCGACTAGGGCAATAACCACGAGCGGGCATTATGCCTGCGCGTGCGCACGCCATGTAATTGTCGATGCGTCGCTCTATTGCAGTCAGTTTTATGTTTCGATGTGTTTGTTGATGTAATTATACGAGTACAACTTCAAAATGCACGACTTTTTAATTCAACGATGCTCTTTAAATGCATACTAGCTTTAATACGCGGCTTCGTCCACTTAACTGGAATTTGTTTATTGACCATTATAATGTGTACCCAATGTCTTTCTCTATAACATATAGTAGATGTATATTAAATTTTTAAACGATTGATAAAACAGTTAAGACGCCAAGATCACTTTCCACCAAATGGGTTGTCACCGTCAATGTTTACGATTCTAAGTTGCGTAAAAATAGAGAAGGTTTGATAATAGATTATACTACTAATAGATTTATAATATATTACTATTCCCAACCAAGTCGATCTCCTCGCGGTTCTCCTTGGAAACTATCATGGTTAATTCCTGATGAATTCATCATGATTGGCTAACTGGCCTGTTTTCATTCTCATCTATCACCCTTCACTGGTGCTCCGCCAGCGTATCCCGTTAGCGCAGGCGGGGTTACGATACCATTTTCACCCATCAAAAAAATATAGGTACTACTAATTACTATATACACTATAGACCTTTGTGCAGAAATTCCTACTATATTTTTCACACAATAATTTCAACTATGGTCAACCAGTGGTCGAAATTCCTTTTTATTTTACAACTTAAAAATGCAATCAAGCTGACGGCCGACCTGATGAAAAATGGTAACCGTCGCCTATAGACATGAGCAGTACCATTGACATAACAAAGTATACTGTTTCGCCCATGATACCCCCCATGCGTTGCCATTCCTGAGGACTCAGGTGTTATTCCTCCGTACCCAGTAAATTTACGCGATATCCCATCCTTCAAACCGAAACACAGCCATGCAAACACAACTGCTTTACGGTTGAAACACGAATTTATCCTTTAATTTTTTTTTTGTGTATGTCTATCTATGTCTTTTGTTATTTGTGTGCTGTAATTAATGCAAATAAATTATCTATCTATCTACACGAACATAGATTCCTCCCGACATAGTTTTTCATCGTACCTTATCATATCATCATATTTCTTATGGTCACGTATTATTTGCACAACTATTAATGATGTTAAACAATGACATTTGCAATCATCGTGGATGACGGAGCACTTCACCGACGGATCTGTCCGACTGACATCTTTGCTTATGTTCAATGATTTTTTTTTATCTTTAGATGGATCTGTTATTTGACTAGAACCTCTTCATTTCTCAGAGATCTCATATATAATTAAATGAAAAGTCATACTAATGATATCCATTGTGTTTGCTTGTCTAGGATAGACATTATTCTCTAAGGCTTCTCTTTTTTGTATTTACTCGCACGATTCTAGCGTTTAAGAATATATAGTATACTGATTACGAATAAGTAATACAGAAATATTTCGCAAAAAAAAAAAAATTGAGAAAGAGGAACGCGTGGGTGACGTTCGTAATTGAACCACTACCTGCTTACCATCAGGTGGGGTGTGGTCTGCTGACAGTGACTAGCTACTATTTTTTTTTTATATAAAACTTAAATATTGAACTAGCTCACGGCCCTCCTGATGTAAGATGGTAACTGTCACAGAATAGCACCATGCATGTCACAAAATATGAGTACATTGTGATGCCCGGACTCCTCAAGCATTGCGGCTCCTGAGAACTAAGGTGTTGCGTCTCGTAGTATCAAATTGACTTGCCTTTTTAATTTTTCAAGGCACTTTCTTCCACGCACAACCACTCTTTGGTATCAATTGCCAGCAGCAATATTTCCGAACCGATACGACATCATAACCAGAAAAGAGCATATTCCTTTTTAAAAGGCCGGCAGCACACCTGCATTGCCGTTGGTGTTGTGGGTGATCATGGGCGGCGGTAGTCACTTACCATCAAGTGCGCCGCAGGCTCGTTTGCCTCCCGTTGTAAAACAAAAAACACTGTTATATCTCACCCATCTTTTATTTAGTCTTCCTCCGGTACTAAAAATAATAATGTACAATTGTTGTCCACAGTTCGCAGCTACGACAAACACGACAAATGCGGGCTCGTGTGGATACCGCGCGTGGTCGCGTACAGGTGTCGCACGTGCGGCATTTCGCCGTGTATGTCGATCTGCCGCGAGTGCTTCCACCGCGGCGACCACTCCACACACGACTTCAATATGTTCCTGTCGCAGGCGGGTGGCGCGTGCGACTGCGGCGACAAGTCCGTCATGAAAGAGGACGGGTGAGTTGACAGTCCACTTGGAGACTTTTGTTACGATTTGAAAGTATAATCTTTTCCATGACGCCTCCAGAATTGAGATCTGGGAAAGGAGCCGTCAACGTCATGTAGAAAACTCTAACATTAATATGCGCCAACGGTTTGACCCCGGGGTAATGATCGTGTTTTTATGCGATGTTGGACATTCGAATAAGGAATATAGAATCCGAAACTACATTGTAGTACATTGTAGAATAGTCTGTAATGTGATGCATTCGATACAACCTGTTTTTTTTTTAATGGATGATAGTGGAATGGTAACCCCGCCTGTGCTAACTGCCTGTATATGCTGGCGGGGCACCAGTGAGGAATAATAAGTATAGATGATTGTTAAAAATGAAAAGGCAGGTCAGTTACCCCAAAGTGATGAAAAGATTTATTTAGCACAATGGTTTCTAGGAGAACCGCGTGGAGGTCGACCTGAAAGGGTATATTGCTAGCATATGAGACTGTTAGTACGCATTGCTAACAATCCCTTTCTCTTCGATACAACCTAGGGTACTTTGAACAAAACAAAAAGCGCGTCAATTAAATCAATTAATTTTTAGAAAAAAAATCTATTCACGAATTTGTGTAGATAATTATGCGTTACATAATACAGACAAATTGAAAAACTTCTTTTGGTAGTCGCGTAAAAATCTGCAGTACTCTCTGATCGTATTATGTACTAGCTCTTTCCCCGCGACTGACCGTATGAATCAATATGAAGTAACCATGTATTAAGTTAGGATATAACCTACCCGTATACCAAATTTCATTAAAATCCGTCCAGCCATTTAAACGTGCAAGTTGCAAACGTCCATACATACAGTCTCATAAATTTTCAGATTTATACTTGTAATATAGTGGTAGTGTGTCTGAGCGAGCACGTAATATGCTGATGTATTCGTGTCGTGTATGTATGTATTTTGACGTCATATATAAAAATGAATATAGCTTGAAGCAAATCAATGCACAGTAGTCACTTATAGTGGCAGTTTGCGAGATTGCGAGGGCGGCGATGACGTCACACGGCACGACCTCTTGCCGCGAGGCCAACAGGAAGGAGTTTACGTCTCGGTAAACGCGGAACGGGTTGTTGCTTAGATAGACACCGCGCCATAGTTCCATCCATGGTAATACCGCAAATTATGCCCGACACCATCTACGGCGAATGTTAATAATCTTATAATATTTGTAGTTGAACCGACGTGTATACAGGATAAGAGTTATTAAACAGCCGTTTAACATACGCCTGTCTCTTATTGGGGTAGGCAGAAACAATAGAACACCAAATGCCTCCAACAACATTTCGAAACTGTGTTTTATTAGTGAAACTGATTTATTTTTATAATGAATCTATTTATTTGTTGTGGAGAGATTGGCATCGTCCCTCTTAAAACATCTCAAAGATCTTACTGCGGTTAACAACTCGTCTGCCAAGCGTCGCAACTACTGGCAAAACCCCCCTTATGGGGAAGGCCTATGTTCAGCAGTGGACAGTTAACGGCTGATATAATACCAGATATATTTACCAGAGGGAGACTTTGTACAAAAGTCGATTGCTTCGGTACCTCTGTCCCATTCGTGTTTCAACCATGAAGCAGTTGTGTTTGCATGGCTGTGTTTCGGATTGAAGGGTGGGATATGGCGTGAATTTACAGGATACAGAGGAATAACACCTGAGTCCTCAGGAATGGAAATGTATGGGGGGTATCATGGGCGAAACAGTATACACTGTTATGTCCATGGTACTGCTCATGTCTATAGGCGACGATTACCACTTTCCATCAGGTGGACCGTCAGCTTGTTTGCCATTCTAAGTTGTATAAAAAAAAATAAAAAGAAATATTAGTCTTGTTACTGTATGCAATAAAACAATAGATACAAATAAGTAGAAGATGCGACAAACAATGCAAGCATTTGTATGTCTATGCATTGTTATTTTTAAAACAATATAATGCCTAGTAGTTAGTCAACATGGTATTGAACTTGACCTCACCGCTGGCGACGTCGCCGACCTTGGGAACAGGGTGACCTTCATTAATACAGGTTATACAGGACAAGTGGAGTGTCTTTTCTTGACTTTCGACAATAGGCTTCTGCGTATTTTTAACTTCAAATACTATTTCGCATATATTATTCTGTTTTTATATATCGTCTTTAGATTTTATATCTTCGCAATTTTTTTTTATAATTTATAAGCCGTTGGATAGAGTTCACTCCTTTCTAGTAAATTTTACACCAAAGGTTTATTTTGTACAAAAATCGTATGCTTGGGCACTTCTATCCCTTTATGTTTTCACTTTGAAAAAGATGTGTTTGCATGGCTATATTTCGGTGTATGCAGTGGAATGTGGCAGTGAAATTACAGGGTACAGAGACATAGCATCTAATTCCTCTGGAATAGTAACGCATGAGGGGTGTTATGGGTGATACAATACAATATATTCTGTTATATTCAAGATACTGTTTAAGTCTATAAATGACGGTTACCGTTTTCCATCAGGTGGGCCGTCAGCTTGTTTGCCATTCTAAGTTGTATAAAAAAAATTGTCGTGATTAAAAGTCGCTCTGTTTTTGTTTTTGGTTACATAATAATTTAAGATTTTACAACAGTGGGGCTTATTCTGAGGTATAATTTCGCTAAACTTATGTCTTAATATATATTATAATTTGATAATTTCACAAAATTACTGTTGATATAGACTATCATAAACTAAAATTATAATAATGTTGATTCAAATTTATTAAAAATTTTGCTCTTATTGGTCCTTACAATAAAGGTTTTGTTGTGATATTAAACTAAATTTTTTATTAAATTTTAGAAAAAGGTATACAGAAATGGCAGGTAAGTTATAATTTCAGATGGTACCTTAGAATTTGCCACAATTACGTGTTCCATCTAAAACAATGGATGTTACGATAGATTCTAGATTCCCCACTGGTAATATCATCTGGAGTAGATCGCTGGCTGACACCCAAAACGGTATCTATGCCAAATTGGAAATACATATTGTGTGCTCTTATTTTTAATCCAAGTGTCACTTAGTATCAATTTATATCTTGTTTTCAACCAATTTCGAAAAGAAGGAGGTGCTCAATTCGGTTGTAGTTTTTTTTTTTTAATGTTTTTTACCTCAAATTTATAAACCCATTAGTAAACAGTACAATCAATCAATAATTTATTTGTATATGTTTATTACCTCATAACTCCGTTACTTGTAAATTGATTTAGAAAATTCTTTTTTCTATCTGAAAGGATATACTTACCGATTGGTTTCATAGAAATTTTATCAAAATCGGTTCAGTGGTTTAGTTTTTAAATCAAAATAACTGGTTTTGTCACAATTGAGGTCTTTTTTTTTTGGATATAACTCTTAATTATCTTAATTCGATGGCCCACCTGAAGGAAAGTGGCAACTCTCGCCTATAGACACCTAACAGAATATTTTGTGTAGCCCATGATACTTTATTACTACTAGCAATGGCAGTGGCGTAACAATTGTGTGGCAGGGCTGGCAGAATGCCACAGGCCCCCGACCCAAAAGGGCCCCGGCTCAAGAGGCTGCGAGCTCAGATTTTTTTTTTGCATTGTACCTGAGTTAAAATATATAAAAGATAGGGCCCCATCAAAAGAATTTGCCACAGGCCCCAAATGGTATAGTTAGGCCACTGAGCAATGGGGTTATCAAACTCCATTGCTAACAATCCCTTTCCCTCCTTGGTGTTGTAAGTGAGTTGCATGCTCGTTTGCCTACTGTTATAAAAAAAGTATAAAGAGGGAAGATTTAATTGTTTGTTTGTAATAGATAAAGTAAAAAACTACTCAACTGATTTTAAACATTAATTCACCTTTTTTTTTCTTTTTTTTTTTTTAATACTTAGAATGGCAAACAAGCTGACGGCCCACCTGATGAAAAGTGGTAACCGTCGCCTATAGACATGAGCAGTACCATGGACATAACAGAATATACAGTTTCGCCCATTATACCCCCCATGCGTTGCCATTCCTGAGAACTCAGGTGTTATTCCTCTGTACCCAGTAAATTCACGCCATATTCCACACTTCAAATCGAAACACAGGCATGCAAACACAACTGCTTCACGGTTGAAACACGAATGGGACAGAGGTACCCAAGCAATCGGCTTTTGTACAAAGTCTCCCTCTGGTAGTTCGTTAGTTCAAACATAAAAATAATACATACAGAATAGAAATAGCGAGACGTAAACCAGTCCTGAACATCAAATATTGATTATTAATATTTGATCCTGATCCATAGATCCGCGTACACCTGAGTTTACATTGTGCCGCATGGAATGTCAGTGACCCCTAATACGGAAACCTCAATGCGAAACTCGGACTCGCACTTGACTGGTTTTTGATACTATAAATAGAATATTATAAAATAGGCATGACAACGTACAAAGCGTCGCAAAAGGCATTCTTCACGCTGCCCTTCTGTGTGGTAAGCGGCTAGGGTTGTCACTTTATGAATTTAATTATTATATGCATTTCATAATGTTTAATAACAATTAAAGTCAATTAAGTACTTATTGGTTGACAATACTAGAAAAACTACATTAAATTGGAATAAAATGAAAAAATATATTAATTTTATGTGTTTTTTTTAACATTTTTATTGCTTTTAAAAAGATATTCAGCTAATGACATTCGTGCGGCTTTTTTGTCTACATTCAATATCATAAATAGTCACTAAACTGGTTTGTCATAGATATATTTACAATTAAGTTTTTCGATTATTCGTTTATTGCAAAACTAATTCTAAAAAAATTAAGACAGTATGAAATCAATTAGTTGCATTAATTAATTGTTTTATATATATATATATATATATATATATATATATATATATATATATATATATATATATATATATATATATATATATAATGTTTATACATTTTTTATATGTATTTTATCTTTGTCGTAAAGATAAATACATAATTTGTGTTCCCAAAGA